ACACAATGTGCCGCGACTTTACTGGGGGGGAAAAAAAGGTGGTGTGCAAACCTCTGAACCCTTGCAATCTGCCACCCCCGCGGAAAACGCACCGACTCATGCTCTGGCCAGCCACATATGCCAGGTGTTGAATCACAGCGGTTTGGCCCGGGAGGGATTCATCACAGATCTGTGCACAATGGCATTTTCCTACTGGCAAGCATTTGTTAGGTGAGGCAATTTGGTAGTCTCAGGTTGCTTCGCAAATCTGGCCTCCTTTAACCGTGCAATTAAATGACCTGCTGTTGCATGCGGTGCATCTCGCAAACACAAACAACAATTGGCAGACTGTGCACTAATAGAATAATGTTTCATGTTTTCCAAATAGCACATTAAAACAAAGTTGTTGCTTTGCCGTTATCAAAACCCATTTTCACATTATTACCGGCGGTCTGTAATTATGCCCAAATGGTGTCAACAATCCCTGCGCTGTAGTTTGGAGAAGGTTGGTATTAGTATGGGTGTGCAGATTTTTTTCGTGCAATGAATCAATAGCAAAATGGTTATTTAATAGGCGTGCATTCGGTAAATGTTTATTGATCCCACCATCTGGAAAATCACATGGGAATTGGCAGTAAAATTGGACGTAGCACGTTTTGATTATGTTTTTACAATATTTAATGGCTAAGGAGAGACGATAATTTCATTATTAGTTATGATGCCCAATTGCCATCTTTTGAAAGGCCCTCCTTGCAAGACTGTGAATTGAGTTTCCATTTGACTTGAGCTTGAAATACTTCCTTAAATGGATGGATGGATGGTTCATTGGGGCTAATGCCCAATTCGGCACAGCTCTGCTGAGATCCTGAGTTCAAATCACAGGTGGTCATTGAAGATGAAACCGTGTTCTTAAGAGCACTGAGTTAATAGTCTCAGCTGTCACTAATGAATGCACAACAAATGCATCATATACTGTAAAAAAGAAATGTATTTAATGAGGATGAGACTCTTTCTAAGGGCACCACTTAAATATTGGATGATTGCCTTCCTGCAAACAGCTGTTTACATAGTGTGAAGAAACCGTGCCTAATGTTGAATCTAATCTCATAATAAACAGATATTCCCGTAGAGGAAAATATAATCACCGTACAAAAAAAATCTGCCACGTTATTTTGATATTCACATGCGGTCTGGACTGCTATCCAAGCCTATGGAATGGTCGGAGTGCAAGTCCACTCCGAGGCCGCTACCCGATCAGCATTCACGGGCGGGGCTATGGGAATCCGCCACAGTGTCGTGACATCATGGAGAAATCCCTACCAATGGCCAGAAGATCATCAAGTTGTGTCTTGATATGCATCACAATACAGCCACACACACACTACACACACGACACGTGTGTGTAGCTGTGTGTGCGGTGGGAGCGGTAGTGCGCTACGAACCCGGTGACCGAGTTCGATTCCCACTCACGGCCAACACCGGTGACGATTAATTATATGAACGGCCCTGGGCCTCCCTTAGGTCGACCCAGCCTCAAATGAATACCTAGTGCGGTGTGCAAACATCGCCACTGGGGAAACAGGCGGTCGGGCGTGGTGCTGGCCACCTACCCCCTCGTGTGCTGTGCCGGCCTTCATAGGTGCTCGCTATCAACACTTGCCCCAACAGGCGATACGAGGGATTTTTTTGTATTTGGGAGAAGCCCTTAGAAAATCACAGAGTGCAACCCTGGAACTTGAATGCCATTGGTGATCTGAGCCACTGGGGGTGGGTTTACACACAATCTACGGCAGGGCTAAATCTCTTCTTTGCAGAGCTTTGATTTCCCACTAAGTGGTACTGTAACTCCTTTTAAACAACTCTGGAACTATGAAGGTGTAGGGTTAACGATTCAGAGACAGAGTTTCTAGGAGGTACCTTCTTTATTAACAAATTCCACGGTCTCCTCCGCACACTCCCCACAGTAGCTCAGCCCAGCCTGTACACAACACGAGCCGTCTAACACTGACGACGCGGACTGAGATAGCCAACTCCTGTCCTTTGTAGCGCAATGTCTAGCGAAGACATTTAGCGACGACGGCGACGAGACGAGTCCACTCCCAGGACCGGCAGCCTCGAGCTCCCGCTCTCGGCTCCTTTTCTGCTCCCAGCGTGGCCTGGCTCTGCCCTGATCGCGCCTCCCTTCTCAAACGCGCTAGCAGGTTCCAGGGGCCTTCATACAGGGTCCTCCGTGACTCTTACCCTAGTGCCTACACCCCGTGCACGCCGTCAGCGGCGTGTGTGCTGTCTGTCCACCACAGTTGCCGCTGCTGTCCACCAGCCGGCGCTATTACACTACAAAGGTACCGATTCAAACCCCCTCCTGGATGTTTGGACTTGCAATCTTATTATTGCTAGCCGTGCGCTTCAGCAACGGCACCATCTGACGGGATGTATAACGTGAGCCCCAAATCATTCATTATTGGATGTTCATGATTTTGGCTCAAAATCGACTCTAAAAATTATTTTGAAAAATATTCTCACTTTGATGTCAAAGTAAGCACGCTGCCGAGTCACAGTCTAAGCACAAGCATCAGCGTGTTGGGTAATATCAACCATTGTCAATTAAGCAGGTGCAAACTAATGAACGACACACACGGACAAGTATTAATGGGGCTCCAGTGTTACGGCCTTGAAGGGAAAAAATACTTGCTTAATATGTGCCACCACCATTATATCATCCTGCTGTATAACGCCCTGTCGCGACTCTGCCTCATCAACGCTTGTTTGCAGCCTGGGCTCATCAAACATTTCGTGCGCATTTAAAGTGTTTTACGGCTGTCCTAAAGACAGCTTTACGAGTGCGCTTGTCCTGTTTCTATTCCAGCGCATCTACAGCCTCAATAATAAATGAGAAGCTATATGTCCGCAGTGCTAATGTAGCATTATTATATCAAGCGCTCTCTCTTAAAATGGGGGTGGGGGGGGGTATAAAAAAAACATCCAAGGGAGCTTGACATTTAGTCTGCACAAAAGCGTATTAACCTGAAAGAGAAGATGATTCATGTTAGCATCGTTGGATAGCTTACTTGTCAGCGCACACTCTTGACTGAGCCAGTTTCAGTCAATGGGTCATTTCCTGCAGCTACCCCGGCATTTTGGAGTGTTACTTAAAAAAGCATTCTGTCTGCGGTAGAGTACTACATTTTTTAAAACATTTTTTTGTTTTAAAAGTCAACGTTTCTTCCCGTTTAAACAAGCGACACCGGGTGGATATTACACAATTCAACGTCTCCCCATTTGATTGGTGAACTCCCACAAAGTGGCACCCACATTTTATTGACCATTGTGGATAGTAGGCTTTGATGTGCGACCTTCAGAAACGCGTGCTTGAGCACCGACAACCAAAAGCACCGCCCTGCATAACCCTTCTTTAAAGCAGCCTCCAAACTCGCCGGGGGGCTCTGCCGCATAAACCGAGGGCGATTAATCCGTGTCGTGGGGGCCCTTTCGTGTTGTAATTGTTGGCACTACAGGAATTGCAGTTCAGAGGTCACCAAAGTTCGAATCGTACCAGCGATATAAGTGGGCACATTCACATTGACATTGATACATTCATACTGACATTCGTACATTTAGTTTAACGCGTAGAAGTAGGCTTTCGCGACCAATATTACCCATAACAGATGAGTTTTGGGTTCGATTGCGTTAATATAAATGTGTTGTTAAACCCGCCATGACCCGACACGGTTAATTAGTAAGGTTTTCCGCATTAACAAAACGTGCCAATTCGTGACTAGTTCAGCACACCGGTGTGTTTGGGTGAGTATGGTTTGTGTGAGTATGGTTTGTTATAGAGTAAACCCACGACATTTACAATTCCAGTTGTGGGGTTTCTCTCCAACACACCATACTCACCCACCGGTGTGTCGGTTGGTGATCCAGGTTAAACGACACATTTATATTTACGCGATCTAACCCACAACCTCTATTATGGGTATATTTATAATGACATGGGCACATTTAAAACCTTATGGCGGGACCCCGGGGTCCTATAAGCCCCCGGCTCTCGCATAAACTGCGTTGCGACGTCATTTTATGTCCGTTGAAGGCGAACGATACGGCAATCTATTCCTCTCGACGAGCTCTACACGATGCGCCAATCAAAGTTTTGTTTCTTCTGCGCATTCGTCCTCGCTGCTGCGCTTGGACATGACATCACAACAGAACGATCCGCACCAGGTGGGTCGCGGTGTTTATGTGCGCGATGGGATGGAGTCGCCAAAACTAAAATAATTACGATTTTGATTTCCGTTTATTCGGGACCCTGGGGTCCCGCTATCAGGTTCATTTGTACTCTACAAAATCGTCAGGTCACGCCTGTCGGGATGGGTTCACTCACATCTTCCAAGACGTCTGGTACAGCGTAGAAGAGTAGGCCAAAAATACCCTATCTTAGAGGTGCCCTCTTCAGCTCCCTCTTAGTGGGGGAGGAGGGGGGGCTTGTCAGGGCTGCAACCTATCACCCCCTAAATATAATTACGATAGAAGTAATTCACTCGACAAACGAAGCATTAAGCACGCGACGCACACACGAACGAACAAAGAAACAACAAAAGCACAAATGTGGCCACGTGCAAAGTTAACTGTCGACGGGATATTTGATTTTTAAATTAAAATCTCCCCTCTTTCTAAAAATTGCCAAACGGAAACACAAACACGCGTGTGCGCCGCTGGCTTTTTATGGCTCGGCTCGTGGCCGCTGCTCCCGCCGCGGCGGCGTCCGAGTGACGTGCCCGTTGCCATGTGAGTCTTCTCTTGCGGGGGACCCCTGCGGCCCGGCCTAAGCAAACAAACGGGGGGCCCGGTGGAGCACCGCAAACAGTGGGCTGCTGCTGCCGCCGCCGTCTGAACCCCAACCGCCACGCCTGCGTCGGGGCCAGGCAGGGCTTTGACTTGACTTTGTTGTCGCCGTTTAACGATTTGTACACCGCGTTGGAGCGTGGCGAAACGTGCAAGTCGGCTCGGGGAGTGGGGTAGGTGGGTGGGGGAAGAGAGCTGGAGACTGGGACACCGATCCTGAGTCCCGGTACCTTGACAAGTCTTCTCGAGAAGTCCCAGCCAAAGCAGGCGAGTATATCACGCGATTCACTTGGAATGGTCATCATGTTTTCAGTGCGTAACATGCACGCGTGCGACTATCGTGATGAGTGTCAGTACACGCGTGCGAATCGTGAACTGACGTGCTGGAGTTGTTACAATTCATGTCTATAGGACTCATTGTGTATTGAAAACGTTCGCTGTTACGCCGTATTCTATGAATTTAGCAAACTGATGTATTGCTGTGTCGTGCCGCAACACTTTGTGACTTGGTGAAGAGCAGTTTAACTAATATGGTGAATGATTGCTGGGTTCAAGCGTCTGAATTGCCGTCTGTTTAGACTGTTAACACGCTAAATGGGGAAAGCGCTTGGTCAACGATGCCACGATATCACGGTTGGCTACGTACGGTGCGAAATAAGTTGCTCGCCACATACACAGAGCCAGTGGCCTCGGTTTGATTCCTGTCTATGGACATGAACCGGTGGCAGTGACGTATGCACTTGACTTGGTCCTCCTCGAGGTTTGCTCAGCCTAAAATAACAGCCCAAAACAGCGTGGCAACATCAGCAATTGGGTAACAAAGGTGGCTCTGTGTGAGCGCGTTCTGTGGTTGGGAGCAGTGGTGTAGCCAACACCGGCGACGATTATCTGAACCGGTCCAGGGCCTCCCCTAGGTCGACTCAGCCTCAAATGAGATACCTGGTGCGACGTTGTAGTAAGCGTCGCCACTAGGGGACACAAAGGGTGTTGCGCTGGCCACCCACCTCTGCATGAAAACCGTGTCGGTCTTCATAGGTGCTACTCGCTAACAGCACTTGCTCCAACAGTCTGTTCAGGCTATGCGGGGGATCTTTGTCTTTGTGTCGCGCGGGCCTTTTTGTTTGATTCGTGCGCTTATTTCTGGCACCAGTTGGTGTTTGCAAGCAGTAAGTTGATCTCGGTCTGTTGCAGGCTGATTGGGCCATCATTGCCTGCGGTTTTGCGGTGGACGTTATCGATCTCGGCGACGTCTCTCTCGGCGGAAAGAGTAGGGAGGCCACGTGTGTATCGGCGTTGAGGTTCAAATTGAGCGGATTTCCAATGTTTTTTGTTTAACCTGCTAAATGAATCACTCGGGAGGCACTTGGCGTTTGTCGAAACACCACCGTATTCTTGGTTCTTTCGGTAAAGTCGCGTAGAAGGGAAATAATAAAATAAAAACAATTAAATTCTCACGACGTTTCGATTGCAATACAAGCAATCATCATCAGGTGTGAAAACCACAGCAAGAAAATCTGAAAAAAGTGGCGGTTTTGTCAAATTTTCTTGCTGTGGTTTTCACACCTGATGATGATTGCTTGTGCTGCAATCGAAACGTCGTGAGAATTGTATTGTAAATTTTTATTATTTTATTATTTCCCTTCTACGTGACTTTACCGAAATAACCAAGAATATAAATCCCTGCAGTCACGAAAGTTTTAAATTGAAACACACCCGGTCAAAGTTTGGCAGGACCCTCCTGAAAAACAACAAGAGTCTCAAGACTGAGCTCAACCTGCTTCGTGAAGAAGTGGCTCTATTTCAGCAGAGAAGACAGACTTAAAGAAAGTGAATTTTACTGCGGTACTGTGTACCGGTGTCGTGTTTTCATTTCACGCGGACAACTTCTTCTTTTTCTCCTGTGTCACTTTTTTTATTGAACAGAACTCCTCGCGTTTAATACCACGTGACTCGGTCGTGACTCTCCCACTTGCCCTGCTCTCTCTCACTCTATTAGCCTCTCCACTGCTAGCCTGTTCTCTCTCTCACTCTCCTAGTCTCTCTACTGCTAGCTTCTCTACTGCTAGCCTCTCAACCCTCACCTCTCAACCTCGCCCTTGCCTCCAGTTGGGGTTCAGCCATCACCGCTGGAGAGGGCGAGGCATGGCGAGCGGGGCCTGGCACTTCTCTCGTCTCTCCTCTTGCCTTCACTCCGATCAACTCAACTCTCTCTCTCTCTCTCCCACGCTCCCGTATATATCCCCCTCCTCATTAACTCCTCATTAACTAAGCTGGCGACCTCCCGTCGCCGCACGCCCCATGGCTTCCGCCGCTAACGCCTCGATCTCCCGCCAACATGGCGCCTGTTCCTCGCCTGCAGTTGCAGCCAACCAATCACCGTGATGCATCTTAATTGGCCGTCGCCTTTTCGTCGCTCTCTCTCGCCGCACCTGTTCGTCCCGATGCGATCTCACTGTCCATAACTCACACATGCGTGCACACCAATTGCAAACCCCTGTGCGCGTTACTCCACTGCACCAATATTAAGTATGTTCACAGTTTTACAATTTAAGACAATAACCAGGACAAAAATCACACAAAAATCACGGGTGATAATTTTGCATCCAGGAACGCAACCTTAGTTTTCCCATGAAGTTTATTATTTGTCAAATGTTGTTTTTCCCCAACACGGCATTTTTGAAGAACATAAACCCTTGCGTTCGACTAGGTCTGCCTGCGCCGTGTATGTAGCAATACTACACGGCAGAATATAGTACCGCATGAGCCAGTTAAGTTTCTCTGTTTAAGTTATACGTTGCAGCTTTTCTGTATTAATTGTGGCTTAACGGGATCGGTTTAATTTTGGTATTCTATACATAGTGCACAACGTTGATTAAAGCCATTTGAATATGAGAAATGTTGCCTGGGCGACAGCTCTCTGATTGATTTGAATGAGGGCAACAGACGTCTCCAAAGTTAATGACGAAAACTGGTTTGCATGATTGTGACCCATTGCCCGTATGGTAATAGGGGAGCGATGGCGCAGTGTATAGCTTACTCTACCGAGTTCGATTTCTCGGCCATGGCTGACTTTAGTGACGAGTTCTGGATACACCTCTTTCGCGAAAGCAACACTGGTCGTTGTCATCAATCATCATCCATGTTCCATGCACCGCTAGACGAGGGCCTCTCCACTATGGCGGCACCATTACCACCGTGACTGGTTGGCTACGCACTGTTAGCTACATACGATGCAAAATAAGTTCAACATACATAGATCGCTCACGGTCTTGTGATGCATCGATCAATTTTGTTCCTGTGCAGGAGCATCATTATCAAAGAAGGGGACCAGTTAATGGATCAGAATAAGTTTAACAGAATGTAGGCTTTCGCGGCCAATGTTATCCATATTCCAGGTTTTTTTGGGTTAGATCGCGTAAATATGTGTCATTAAACCCATTACCACCCGACACAGCCATTTAGTAAGGTTTGTCACGTAAACTAAATATACAATAAGTTACTAGTTCAGCACACCAGTGTGTCTGAGATGGAATCCACAACATTTACAATTTGACTACGACGTTTCGTCGGAAATTACAACCAGGCTCATCAGATGACATCCGGGATTAATGACACATTTATATTTACGCGATCTAACTCAACAAACCTCTATTGTAGATCAGAATACATGTACGTACAGAAATGGAATCTCAGTCGTGGAATTTATAAATGGATGCACGAACCAGCATGGTCAAACAACCATTGGACCTTAATCCATCTGTAATGAGCGACTTCCGCGACACGTCATCTAGAGGGTAATTCTTCTTTATTTTCACACCGGGCACAACACAGGCCAATACTTATTCTTTCTCTCACTGAGTACAACACTAGGTGTTAATGTTTCTTCTGGCTACACACACAGCCAATTACTCTGCGTGGTCCCATCGCCCTCACTCGACTACACCGCTGGCTGGCGGGCGTGACGATGACGGCGATGGAAGCGACGCAGGAGATCTTCCACGTGGTCAGATGATGGAGAGAGGTGTTGCCGATCAGCGACGCAGCCAGGGCCCAGGACTCCACACACCAGCCCCGAGCCCCGTGTCTGCTCCCCCTTATATGCCTCCAGGCGTGACTAAGCCCTGCCTCCGGCAACGTGCTCTCATGGAACCTTCCAGAAGGTTCCTGAAGTTCTCGGCTAACCCCACCTTTTACCTTTGCCCCATATCCACCTCCTTCTCTGATTGGTTATTGCTTAACCGTGCCCGTGATTCCCCTTCCAGGCCAGCAGGTGTCACCCTGTCATTGCCAGCAGCTGTCACCCTGTCATTACACATCCATTGGATTGACTAAGGGTCATATATTATTGCGAATAAATCGAATTAAAAATTATCATACGTTTTCAGCAATGTTTCCTAGATTTCAGGACAGGTGTGAGTTCTTTTAATATGAGGTGTGGGACAGGCAGGCAGGGAGATGCCCCCCCCGCCCCCCCCCCCCCCGCGTTAACGTGAAAAGACACACTCTGATTGGCTGGAGCAGCTATGCATGTTGGGCAACGGGTGAGATACAGCAGCAATAAAGTAAAACAATCACTCTTTACCTGTGTATGCACATGAACACCTGGGTTGTGTAAACACCACTGCTACACATTAAATACACAGTGTTTAGCCCAAGCCTTAGAGTGAGGTTACTCCAAATCCACATCACCTCGATAAGGTGGTCGTCAGAGCTTATCTCGCAAACGCTGTCGTTCTGCAATCGAATCGCTTACAAAACTCAACGCACGGTTAGAATGTTTTGTCAGTTGCCTTTTAGATGGCACGCGAAAGAAATACAATCTTTGAATGAGTAATTTATACTCATAATAGAGTAATAACATTTATCCACTGTTGGATGAAGGCCTCTCCACTGTGTGTCGGTCACGGGGTTTGTTTGACCACACCATGGTGGGTCAGTGTTTGTTGGTTCGGATATCACTTGCGACTGAAATGACCCATGGTAGGGAATTAAACTCAACTCGCCGGGTCCACAGTGCGGTGTACGAGCTAACTAACAACATGGAGTGTAACGTGTTAAAATCTACCACGACATGCACATTGGTAATTACTATGAAAGGCGTTCGTGATGATTCGCTTTCGCGTTTCGTCCACATTTTGTAGCGTGCGAACAAAAAATGTACCTGCCTTTTCAAAGTGAGACGTTCTTCTGTTTATAGCCCGAGATAGTGCCGCAGCAACGGCTGTTTGATCAGCTGCGCTGAAGCAACAGTGGCTACAGATTGGGAG